CTATTCGCCACTATGTCTGTTATTCATGCACATGGTCGTATTTATCAGTGCAGTATGCTGCTCAGCAATGGCGACCCTGAAATTTCTGTTGTCCGATTATGGCGCCAGATTAGAGGGAAGCAACTCGCGCCAGAAAAATTACCGTATTTCACCAAAATAATCAAAATTTCGCTTTTTTATAACAAACAGTAAAATATTCATCATATTTATATTCAGCTTTCGTCCATTGATATAATTACAAACATTATTTATTTAAAGACATCAATAAAAAAATCACAATAAAGTAATTAATGGAGTGCATTGAAATCAGACCTCATGGGGTAGAGGGGTTAAACAAAAGCTCGTAACTTTTTTAAAAGCCTGGTGACCCCCATTTTATTTTACCTTAAAATGTTCGAAAAGTTCATAGCTTGGACATATCCGTTTTTAAAAAAAATCTACCGGGGAAATTTTACGAAAAATCGATTTAACCAATATTTTTAGCCTTAAACTGAAATTAAAAAATGCCAAATTTAGACATAAATCTGAAAATAAAATGATTTTCAAGTCTAAAACAACCAAGGGGAACGTTTACATTTCAAATTTAATTGTTTTTTCACATAATAATCATACTGACATGGTTCTAAAAGTCTTTGAATTTGATGTAGTCGTTATTGTTGAAAGGGTGTAAAAATTTGGAAATAGGGTCAAAATCGCACATTTCGCTTCCATTTGAGGGAAAAACGAGCCTGGTGACCCCCTTTTTTCTTTGCATTTTTGGATTCAGCATGAAAAAATCTACAAAATATGTGAAAATAAAAAAATTCTACCGGGGGTCCTTATTGGGGCGAGCCACCTTAAGTAGTGATTTGGTTCAGTTGAAAAAGGTCAAAAATTAGAATGTCTGAAGCTGTCAAACTGAATTTTAGCCCCCCTTAACACAGAATTGTCAATATTTTGAGTTAGAGCTGGTAGAAGTTTCTATAATTTTGATATTATTTGTATCAATAGTAGTACACTACACTGTAAAAATCTTTTTGAGATAGAGCAGGTGCGATTTTTTTAATTTGAATTTATTGTCTAAAAGAAATGCACTACGAAATAACTGTGTTCTCGGGCCTAAGAGATGAATTCCGTAAATGTAGATTTTGTACTTTGGCAACTTTCCTGAATGGTTTGCTGGTTTCAATTTGTCAAACTGAATAAAAGTAAAGGATTTACATCTTTGTTTGACAGAAATTCTGTTAAAATGTCCCATTTTGGCATTATACGGCTAAAATAAGCATTTTAAAGCAGTTTCCATTTTATGCCTAAGAGCCATGCTGACTTTCTATCTGACAGCTTTTTATTTTCCTGATATTTGTGTTTCTATGCTTAAATCAAATTTAATTAACCATTTATGAACTCTGAATCTAGAGAAAAGTAGATTATCACAGAAAAAATGTGCAGAATATTTGTATTTATGTCCCTGGTTAAACGGCCTGTTTGATGTATGTGAAATGTGAAGAGCTTTGTACATAAAATCTGTAGTCCATCACAAATATTTCACTAAGTCTGTAAACAAAAACACTCTACAATGATCAGTACACCCTATTCATTTCATATGCTACCATAATTTTCTTCTTTACGATAGTAAATGGTTCAAATATATGCCAATTGAGACTAAAACTACATGCAAATTTTCCATTGAAAAGTGAAAAACTGGTCATCAGACCATACTGTCTGCAAAAAAAAGTTGAATTCAAGAGTCCTTTTGCAATTACACTTCTTGTATCATGACATCTTAGCATAGAAATGAGCAAAAAGTAACAAATTTCCATTTCTTATAGCCTCTGTGTGCATTTTTATATGTAAATATTGGCTACGGCCTAAATCGACTCTAAATAATTCTCAGTCTTACTTGGCCTAAGACCATTTTATACTCATGTGGTATGCTTTTTGTAACTTTTCTTTACATTTAAAGTACATTTAATATATATGGAAGAATAATGTATGGTTAAAAAACTTCAAAAACTTCAAATTGGTTGAAAAAAATGCATGTTTATGTAAGGCTTCCCTTAATTCGAAAATCTCTATTTTCAGGCACAGGCTCATATAAATTTGACTTTTGAATAGCTGTAATAAATCTGATAAATCAAATGAGTGTTCCGTTGCTTTTAATACCTTTTATATTATATTCGAGAGTATTTAAAAAGCAAATTTTTGCAATATTTAAATTTTTTAGGCCAAAATCTTGACAGTTGAAAATATTTTATTTAAACATCAAAAATAAACATCCAAATTTCAATATTAAAATGGCCCTAGTTTCTATAATATATATCCTATGGCCATGAAACTTGGCCAACTATCTTATAATTGCCTAAGCTTAGGTCATGCAAAGTTTTATTAAAATTGGTCAAGTCTTTCTATCCTATTAGGTCCAAGGACACAGTTATCGTCCTTTGGTTTTCGTTGTCTGCGAATATAGTCCCTAGTGTGAACAGTGTATAACTTGCATTTTTTTTTGATACACTTTCCCAATTTATTTCTTGATATTTTATGCATGAAATATTAAGTAAGGGGATGAAATTACATGTTCAAAAAATTTGGGTGCTGAATCTTTATGTTAAGTAGTGATTTGGTCCAGTTGAAAAAGGTCAAAAATTAGAATGTCTGAAGCTGTCAAACTGAATTTTAGCCCCCCCTTAACACAGAATTGTCAATATTTTGAGTTAGAGCTGGTAGAAGTTTCTATAATTTTGATATTATTTGTATCAATGGTAGTACACTACACTATAAAAATCTTTTTGAGATAGAGCAGGTGCGATTTTTTTAATTTGAATTTATTGTCTAAAAGAAATGCACTACGAAATAACTGTGTTCTCGGGCCACTTCACTATCATTTTCATGACCTACTATCATGATTTTTTCCCGGCCTCACTTACGGATACGCTCACATATAATAGATGCACCCCAATATTAACCAATCAGACGTTAAAAAGCCTTGAATTACCATCATAACGGAACAAGCTAACATTTACCAATGAGAATCCCTTAACAGATTTATCCCATTGTGACCTGAAGCGTATGACTAATTAGACCGAGTCTCATGTGACTCGGTAATTAATTAAGTCTCGTTTGTCATATATTATGGCACTGAGATGACCGCAGTTTTCAAATTCGAGGTAAATGTCTAGAAATTATGCGGAAGAAGCTATATATGTGGTTTTTTTTAAATCTCTTGTTCAGGAGGATAAACTAATGGGACCCAAACAGAAAAGTGTGGATTGTTAATGGAAAGAACATCATCAATATACCTGTATATGAAATTAAATAATCTAGCTTCTTTGATCTTCTTGTTTTTGTGTCTGAAAGAACTCAGACTCATATGAAAATAAGACAAGGTCAGCCAGGAGAGGTGCACAGTTGGTTCCCATATGAATGCCGACAACCTGCTGAAAAAGTCTACCTCCAAATTCAACAAATACGTTGTCAATGAGAAACTCCAGCATACTGATCACTTGTTCTTAATTCGGTGTGGCATTTTTTTTTATCTTAGGGCTCATTTTTAACAAAATATGTAGAGTTATATCCCAAAACAATAAATTTGTAGCGTATGGTAACATTTTTATGGAGGAAAGCATTGTGGATTATTTCTTTAAAACGGGTTTTTAATTTTTCATGTGGTATGGTGGTGTAAAGGGTGTAAAAATCGAAAGTTTTGATAGAATTTATTTCAGAAAATGACCAAGATTTTAAATTATCCAGTAGTTCTTTTGAGTTCTTAATGCCACTACGCGAGTAAACTGTGTCACAGTATTTCTGTAATCCCTCTTTCACTGAAGAATCAAAGTCCTCATCACTACAAAAATCTGCCTGATTGATCAGGTGAGTTTCCCCAGAGAACACGTTGTGTTTGCTAAGAAAAAAACCGTATAGACTCATTTCAAAATGATACGGATATTTATTATCATTGTTAAACTGCAAATAATCATTTGGTAATCAGATACAACAAATCTGTGGGAAATCATTCAATGCTCCTTCCTTATATTTTACGCAAAGTCTCGAGACAAACGATACCAGCAGAGAGAATCGATATCGAAAACGATTTCTGCGCAAATATGGGAGGCTGAAAAAAGTTAACGATTTTGGATTCATTAGCATTAGCATATTGATTTTATATTGATTATTATTTTCATTTAATTTTCTATTGTTATTGAGGACTTTGTCCTTATATTAAAAATTTAAAATGTCAATATCACAATTCTGTTTGGAATGATACACACGATGACGTGTATGTAGTAGCACTTTCTAGGGCTAATAAAACAATACTTTCTTCTGAGGTGGATTCGTTTTATTTCTTGACAAAATCAGGATAATAACAATAACTAAATAAATACCCTCGCATGAGGTGCAAAGGCCTCCTGAATTATCTAATTGGAATTAAATCACATCTTCCCAGGATTACTTAAAAATATACCTGTATATAGAATATAGAACACTAAGAAAGAATGTTACTCAAACTTAGAATTATATCAGACACAAATGTCTATGTCCACCATTATATCAAAAGTGATAACCAGTATAAAGAACAAAAGAAATATAGCGCCAAAACATAAGACCAATAGAAATAAAGAAAGTGTGCGGTCCAATGAACCATGAAAAGAAAGCCTTTGAAGTAAAATACAGTGAAACCAAAGTTACCCAAACCAGTAGAAAATGTCGTCTGTCAATAAGTCCAACTGTCAAATAAGCAAATAAAATGAACTATGAAAATAAATATACTAATCAATTAATTACAATCTGTAATTAATATACTCATACCTTTAATTAATCAATATAAGTCATATCCTATACAAAATACAACACTATAAACTAAATATAAAAATATACACAATTACTGTAAAACCTATAAAATACAGTCTACCACATGTATTAAAAGACCACTACAAAATATTAATCAAGTACGAGGTACAAAAATATGTGCATGTATATAAATCTGAAATGTATCAAGTGTTCATGACTTTTTTTTTTCTTTGTAGCTGTGGTATTTACGATTTGCATTCCACTTCTGACAACTTATCAGTTCAAGGCTGCAACACGGCTTGTTTCTGGAATCGGTCTCATAGGACTTGCGTGGTATTTTGTTTCCGAGTTTAAAAAAATTGACGATGATCATGAAAATTTTCCTTTAACTGTTTTTTTTATTCATGCACACATCCAGTTTTGTTTAGGCATTCTTATATGCTATGTGATGACCGTGAACTCAGCATTTCGGTTTGCCATGTATATTTACCAGTTTATACTTGCAGGAACAATACTGAGAGTCACACCTCCCGGGACCGTCAATATTATTTTCATTGTTACAATATTTCTTCTGGTCTTGGGCTTTTTATACGTTTTAGACAATGGAATACCGATCTCAGAAAACGAAATAAATAACATGTTCTATGACCCTGAGATTGACAACGCTTTAGAACAATATAGACAACTACTATTGGCAATTGTTCGGGGAACACAGAATGTATATGAGATCTATTTTGCGTTACTAATAACTGTAACCTTTAGTTATTATTCGGTGACTGCAACAGAGGAAAGTAATAGTACCAAATGGATCATACAATCCACAATCGGTTCATGCGTTTGCACGCTCATTTCTTTGAAATCATTCAACGAAACATTCTTCTTTATTTCAAAATATATCGCTAAAATGTGTTCTTCCTTTGTCAAAGGACTCAGTGCTTTTGAAGAAGAACAAATGATTAATTCCAGATATTTAATAGGAGTACTTTTGGTAACTTATGATATGTGCTTTTTTGAGTTAGATTCATTAACACATGGCGAATTTATAATAAATCGTGTCTGGATATTGACTGCATTTCTCGTACAGGATTGTTTGATAAAAGTGGATCAAATATCAGCAGAACCAGAAATAATACAGGGAACCCTTTTTCAAGCAGTGAGGGTTGTTTTCATTGAATCATTATTAACCGTTTTCCCTCTCTACATTGCTTTTGAGTTTACCAGAACTTACTCTCTGACAAATTTGGCCATTTTTTTGACAAGTTCATTCTATGTATCAATAGGAGTACGAGCCGTTACATCAATGTTTGTATTTATCCTAAATAAATACGAGTTCATACGTCAGGAGTTCTGGGATAATTTTGATGATATTGTATTTAGAACTCGACTCGTAGGTTTTGTAGCAATAATAGTGCTCAACATTTTAACCGTATGTTTTGGCATCGTGACACTTTTACGTAGTTTTTGCACACACCTTAATATAGGTGTTTTCACAAAGTATGATGTACTACAATTAATTGGAATTGCATCTCTTGATATTTATCATGCCATAATGGCTATATGGAGGGTTTATATTCAAAGAAAACAGATATTTCAGTTTACTGCACGGTTGGAAAATGCCTCCGAAGATCAAATTAAACTGAACAATGACGTATGTTCAATATGCTTTCAGAACATGGATTCGGCCAAAGTAACACCTTGCAACCATATTTTCCATGAGACGTGTATTATGAAATGGTTTCTTAAGTCACAAGTCAAATGTCCAAAGTGCAATCGTGTTGTCATAAGAAACCTACCTTGAACATTACAATGTAACAGTATTATTTCGTTCACCTCTTCACTATCAAGGCTACTTTTGGCCTCTCGATACGACACTGATATATATCTAACTATGGAACGCCTCAGCTGTCTTATGTGGAACTCTGATATTACTTTATGTTGTTTTATTATTACTTGATGATATTTTGTCTTTACTTAATATGGTTTTGACATTACGTAATGATGTTTTGATATAACTCAATATGGAATAGTCATTACTTAATGATATTTCGATATTACACGATATGGTTTCGTATTGACTTGATATAGTTTTGTCATTACTCAATATGGTTTTGTCATTACTCGATGTGGTTTCACCATTATTTAATGTGGTTGTGTCATTAGTCAATGTGGTTTTAACATTACTTGATGTGAATGTGACTTAACGTTATGTAGTTGTTTCATTACATGATGTGGTTTTGTTATTTCGTAATGATGATTTGCCTATTCTTTATATGGTTTTAACATTACGTAATGATATTTCAAAATTTGACGATTTTACACTACATGATGTGTTTGTTTCATTATTTGATGTGGTCCTGTCATTCTTTGATGTGGTTATCCCATTACTTGGTGAGGTAAAACCACGTGACTAATTCGGAAAAAAATATGTTCTATTTTTAAACAGATTTCAATATATCATTTGTTTAATGTGCTTTGGATGGATATCGCTATCCATTGAGTTAAAGTTCAAATTAAAGCTCGAGTGGTTGTTCAGAGTTATTTAGCATGAAAAAGGTAACCGGCAGACAATAATAAGAAAAAAAGTATTAAAAACTTTACAGTATTTCTTACATAATTGGGATATCCCCAAACCATTTTGTCTTTTGTTTTTATCCTAAGTTCTCACACGGAAGCAGTATTTTTGTAATAAATTTGTAAAATATTCCACGGAACCCTATGTCTCGCCTGATATTGCTGCTGTAAGTGTAAAAGCGTCATGTTGATCGGCTGTACATTTATCTATACATTTATCGGTAAAAACAAAATTTAAAAAAATGTTTTTCTGTAGATGCTTTTTGTTGAAATTGAAGAATAACTCCTTTACTCCTATACAAGTTTTAAAACACTTCATGGAGGTTTACAAATTTATCATGCCAAAACAGTTTAATTCGGTTTTATTTAACTAAAACAAAACTGTATGGTTTTCAACAATAAGCAAAACCCATACCCTATAGTAAGCTATAAAAGGTCCCGAAATGAAAAATGTAAAAAACTAGAAACCTAACGATCTATAGATAGATAGATAGATAGATAGATAGATAGATAGATAGATAGATAGATAGATAGATACTTTATTCTCTAAATTACAAGTTTACAGAGAAACATACAATATAAATACAGATAAAATAGTTGAGGTAAACAAATACAGTATGATATTCTAAAAGTACAAAATTATAATGGCATACGTGTTTAGTAACATGTATAATGAAAGGTTAAACTCAATAGAAATAAAAAAAGAATTGAGATGGAGACGCCGACGCCACTATCGACGACGAAATATAGGTTTGTTGGGTCTCATTGCCGCTACATTGATGTCGCAGGCTCGACACAAATCAAACTACTTGAACTTTAATGTTAACAAATGAAGCGCTTCAAATCAACTCACAATAAAGTTACAGGGAAACGGGGGAGGAGGCTCTGACTTAGCGACAAAGCATCAATACTATAAAATAAGAATTCTCCGAATTTTTTTTTAGCGTAAATGATCATTTGAACTTATACAAATATCAATCTTTTATTTGTAATCAATTGAATTCCCTGATCTACCTCGCACTAATTGAAAAATAAACTTTTTGGAATATCTGTTTCACCTGTGACGACGGACATGTTCCAGTGGTCGTAACCATAATACCGTCATCTTTTTATTGAATGTGAACTACCAAATAAAACCAAATCACTGGGTTTGTACCTTCTCGAATAACACGGCGGGTGCCTTTCTGGAGCATCCGAGATCACCCCGATGGATTTATATTACCCAGTCATACCGATCTATTGAGTCAGCCAAATGAAACTGTTTTGTATGCCACCGCAACTGAAAGTTGGGGGGGGGGGGGGGGGGATATTGTTTTACCCCTGTCCGTCCGTCCGTCCGTCTGTCCGTCCCATTATGGGTATATAGTTATTCCGCATAACTCCTCCTACAGTTTGAATCCTAGGAAGTTTTCTCTTTACTGTCTGTTTGTACATATATTGAAGGTGTGCATGTGGTCAGGGTTTAATGTTTATTAATATTTGCTCTTTTGGGAGATAGTTGAACTTTGTAATTTTTGGGGAAATTTACTTGCATAAGAAGAGCGTTTCCAGATAACTCCTCCTACAGTTTGAATGCTAGGAAGTTTTCGCTCTGCTGGCTGTTTGTACATATATTGAAGGTGTGCATGTGGTCAGGGTTTTTATTTTTATTATCTTTTGCTCTTTTGGGAGATAATTGAACCTTTTTTTTTCATTTTTGGGGTATAAGCGGATAAATGAGTTGAGTGCGGGCATCACTTTGTCTAGTTTAAATTTTTTTTCTCGTGTTGTGCTGTTACACAAGTGTAACAGTCCGATGTAAGGTTAGGATTTAGCGCTCACATACATGTTAAACTCCGCCACGTGCACTTTCTTTATGTACCTGCCCCAAGTCAGGAGCACGAAGTTCAATTGTTGTCGTTGTATAAATGTGTGTCATTTTTTTTTGTAGATTGTTTAAATATAAATAAGACCGTTTGTTTTTTCGTTTGAATTTTTTCACATGGTGCATGGTGGCCTTTTATAGCTGACTATATGGTGTGTTGAAGGCTGTACGGTTGCCTATATATGATTTCTTACATCCACTGCATTTAAATTCTGGTGGATAGTTGTCTCATTGTCAATCACACCACATCTAACTTTATTTCAACTTCTATGTTGTGTTTTGTATACTGTAACATTGTTTATCTTTTGTACGCATACCACGGATCGAGCCCTCTTTTCGGAATTCCGAGCAAAAGTCCTTGTTCCGCGATAGAAAATTTAATTACGAACTCATATAAGATAGCACGAATTTCAACTCAAAATCTTAATTAATCTAAATGAGACTTAAATTCGAATCTTACTCAAACTCAAAAAGTGACTCAAATTTAATAGTGTAACTAGAACTCTACCTTTAAATGTGACTCAAACTTGAAGTCCAACTCGAAACTCAATGCTAACTAAAACTTTAATTCTAATAATGACTTGAATTCGGAATCGGAAACTAACTCAAAGTTCTACTCAAACAGTAACCCTAACTTTAATTTGAACTCTACTTCGATGGATGGCCGCACTCATTCAAGGCACATACAACATGGAAATCTATCTAAAAATAGAACAGGTTTTTTCCGAATTGGTCACGTGATTTTACCTCATCAAGTAATGGGATAACCACATCAAAGAACGACAGGACCACATCAAATAATGAAACAAACACATCATGTAGTGTAAAATCGTCAAATTTTGAAACATCATTGCGTAATGTTAAAACCATATAAAGAATAGGCAAATCATCATTACAAAATAACAAAACCACATCATGTAATGAAACAACTACATAACGTTAAGTCACATTCACATCAAGTAATGTTAAAACCACATTGACTAATGACACAACCACATTAAATAATGGTGAAACCACATCGAGTAATGACAAAACCATATTGAGTAATGACAAAACTATATCAAGTCAATACGAAACCATATCGTGTAATATCGAAATATCATTAAGTAATGACTATTCCATATTGAGTTATATCAAAACATCATTACGTAATGTCAAAACCATATTAAGTAAAGACAAACTATCATCAAGTAATAATAAAACAACATAAAGTAATATCAGAGTTCCACATAAGACAGCTGAGATGAATAAAAGTCATTTATCTGTTACAACATAGCAATGATATTTTTTTTAAGTTTTCAACAAATTTTTATATCTCCCCAAAACAGACTAAGATTTGATTCACTACAAAAAAGTGATCGTCCTGAACATGCATGAAATATTTGCCACTGGACGTTAAGCAGCTAACAACAACACAAAAGTTACATTTTATTTATTTTCTATATTTACGTTTCATATTATATTATAAAGTTCAAATCTTCCTTCATCATATTCCCGCCTTTTCACATACAATCGTAATAGAATAGCTATCAACAATTAAAAACCAAATAATGACTCACCTTCTTTCTATAATAAAGTCAATGAAATATTAGAACATTTTAACTACCAACAAGTTATTCTGACTGGATATTTTAACTAAGTGAAAAATCAGGCATTAGATGCTTGCAATTACATACTGAATATAAATAATCCACGAGTAAGAGAAAAAAGTCTTTGAACTTATTGAAACCTATGATCTAATCGATCCCTTTCGAGAATTCTACCCAGATAAGAAACGATATACATGGAGAAAAATTAATCCATTGAAGCAAGCTAGGCTTGATTTTTTTCTTGTATCTCGGAGTTTCTATCAAAATATAAAAAGAAGTAGAAATTCAAAACAGCTATAGATCTGATAATTCACCAATAGTTTTACACTTTAAAATAAGTGATTTCAATATTGGGAAGGGTTTATCGAAATTTAATAATAGTTCACTGTTTGATATAGAATATATTGTAACTGTCAAAGAAAAAGTAAAACAAGGGATCAATATGCAACTTTAGTATACAATAGAGACACACTAAATCAATAAGATAAAATCGTTAGTTGATTAATTATTTAATTACAGACATCATGGATAATCTACAGAATTCGATATTTCACAAGGAACAACCATGGAACTAAGGAAAACGCGCGTGAAATTCCCCGATGTAATGGGTAGCAACGTCCGGGGATATGGGTTAGCAACACCCAGGGGCTATGGGTTTTGTAACGACGTGCGTTAACCAATCAAACTCCTATAAATATACTAAGCCGGGGATAATATAAGTTATTATACCTTACATATATTTCAAACAATTATATTGGGTAAAACGTTATCACGTGACATGGAATAATTCAGTTAATTTTCATTCAATTGCAAATTAAAAATTTACACCAGCGTTGAATAACCCTATTATTCACCGGCGAATAACCTTTTTAGTTTGTTGATTTGTACACACGAAAATGACGTCACAGACGTAAATAAACAAAATGGCAACGTTCAAGTTACAGGAAGCCCATTGATCGAGAGAAGAGGAAATAAGGCTTTTGACGTGCATCTTGTGCCGATGATATCTCTAATAACGGTCCTTTTCAGGGCCATCAATATTATACAAAAAGAATCTACCTTTGTTGTACATACGAGAATTCTAAGACACAAATTACATGTATTTTTGAACGTCAACTTGAGTTTGTTACTGACTCAAGTAAGGGTAAGAGCTATTACAATTATTCAAAATGCCCTTCCACTGTTAGTTCGGTATAATAAAACAATTGTGGCCCCTTAGAAGCGATGAATATCAAAAATTGTCAACCCTTAAAAGTTATTTCACTTCGGGCTGCGCCCTCAGTAAAATAACCTTCTC